GAGAGAGAGAGAGAGAGAGAGAGAGAGAGAGAGAGAGAGAGAGAGAGAGAGAGAGAGAGAGAGAGAGAGAGAGAGAGAGTTTAATGAGCAGCTGCTGTATGGGCCATGGACAGATGGCACCTTTACAGCAGCAGCAGCCTGCAGCCTGCAGTTTGATGACCAATTTGACGAGTTTGACCAGTTTGGCTGTACACAAGGGGCAGCAGGAACGCTTTGGCCTGCCAACGAAGGGCGGTGACCATCATTTGCCACCGCTTTGTCTTTGCCATTGTCGCTGCTATTACCCGCTAGGAAGTAGCGGCACAGTAGCGGCGAAAGAGAAAGATGGATGCCAAGTGCTGGGCTACAGTACATCAGGGAGGATCCGCAGCGCAAAAAGGCAGGGAAGCGAGCAGAAGTGCAGCAGCAGCAGCCAAGCCATCGGGGCTTCAATATGGGAAGCAGGGACCGTCGCCCATTGGTCTAAGCACAAGAAGAGTGCGAAGAAGACGAAGAAGTATGAGTATGAGGGGGTTCACGGACTCATTGACAGAGACTTTCGAGTAGACTTCCTCTCCCAGGGAAGATGGGTGGGACAAGTGTGGGAGAGTCTTAGTGCAACAGAAGATGGACGGGAGATAGACGGTCTCTGGAGAATCAGCCAAGTGTCTGCCTTTCCCACCGAGTGCTTATGGTGGGAAGATTGTGTACGGCGGGAAGATGGTGCACAACTTCCACTGCAATGCTGCGATACTAACTGGGGAAGAAGTGGACGCAGACAACGGAGAGGAGGAGTAGGAGGAGGAGGAGGAGGAGGAGGAGGAGGTGAGATTTGCCAAGCAAGTGCTCAGCGTTTATGCATGAACTATGTCACGACGAATGGGCTGTGTGTTGGATTGAACAATTGCCACGTGGTGGGAAGACCAACTGATGATGCTGCTGCCGCTGCTGCTGTTCCTATCAGGTTCCAGATTGCAGCGCAGCAGATTGCCACTGCCAGTGCCACAGTAGTATCACAGACTGCGGAAGTGGAGGAGAGGGGGGGGGTTGCGCAGGCGGCAGAGAGGATAAAAAAGGAAGAGGCTGGTGAGAGGGGGGATGTGCTGAAGGATGCAGCGGCGGCAGGCAACTTAGACCGCAGGCGATTACCTCGACATCTGGCTGTCATCATGGATGGCAACTCCCGCTGGGCGAAAAAGCACTTTTTGCCGGAGATCGTGGGTCACGAGAGAGGGGTCGAGGCATTACGGAAACTAGTCCGATTGTGTCAGGACTGGGGTATCAAGGCTCTCACCGTGTATGCTTTCTCTATAGAGAACTGGTCACGGCCTAAGGTAAAGGTTTTCCCCTCTGCTCTCCTCCCTGCCTCTCTTTGCCCCTCCCTCCCTCTCTCCGTCCCTCTCTCCCCCCCTCCTTCCCTCCCCTCCTCCCTCCCTCCCTTGCTGTACTCCTGTTTGGATGTCTGCCTGTTGCATACCGAACACCATGCAAGATACGGAACAGGTGAAAGGAATTCTGGAGGCTGTTGCCCTTTCAGAAAAAAACGAGAAAAAAAAGGAAGAAAGTTCAAGAAACCGAAGACTCACCTCCTCCTTTTTCCTTTGGGCATTGGTTTCCGTATGCCTCCTGTTTGTCGTCATTAAGATGATTTATAAGAATCATAGTATTCCTTTTTTTTTTTTTTTTTTTTTTTCGGTAGCATAGTATCCGTTCTGATCAGTTTAATATCTGCTCCTTAAAGGGCAAAAACTCAAGTATAACTCGAAGACTGCAGGATCGACCTAGGAGGCTGAGTTGCCTGCTACCTCGCCGATGTGGAATGACTCAACAACCAACCAACCAGCCAGCCAACCATCCTGCATGTGTCATCTTCTCTGATTGCTTGGGTCAAGTAACAAGGGGCAGGCCCACCCAGTGCTATGTTTGCGCTCAAGCTAGTAGCTGGAACCTGGACGCATTTCTGACCAGGTTCATGCCTCGTCAGCACGCAAGTTTTACCACCACTTGCGACCTTGTCCTAGGTTGTTGTTTCAGTGATGCTTCATTTGGCTTGAGTGTCTTTGTCGGGCGGGGTTCCTTTTCTTTGTCGAAAATGTCAACATGTAACATCTTTGCTTTATGAGGTGTTTATAATATTATTATGAGTTGTAAGTGTTTGTTTGTTTGTTTGTTTGTTTTTTTTTTTTTTTTTTTTTTTTTTTTTGCCATTGAGTCTTTCATGATTGGTTGGCTAAATTGTCATGTGGTTTCCTGTCTGAGGTCTACTTTGGCAGAAAGGGCAAAACAACTTCAAGAAGAGCTCCTACGGAGTCCTACCCCTACCCTACGTAAAACCTCATTGTCCGGCATATATACATAGACGCTTTGATTTGGAAACAAGTGCTCAACTCTTCCCCCCGCCCCCCTTTTTTTCGCTCTTTTTTTTAAAAGAATTTGGACCATTTCTCGATTTATGCATGTGATGCTTGGGCAGAGGCCATGCTAATCTTTTCTGTATCCCGAAGGACACAAGTCCGTACTTTTAGTAGTTCAGTAGTAGCATGATTATATTTTCTTGAACTATTAATTAAACTGTAAGCGAAAACAGACAAGTAAATAATGGTCTGAGACAGTCTTCAGGGGCTATTTGTATTGCTCCAGCCTAATCGTTTATGTGTGTGCGTGTGCTAATTAATTAATACACTCCCCCCGCTTCCTGTCTATGACCAGGCACTTCTCTCTCACTCAATAGCAGGCTTGCCGCCAGCTCAGAAACGGTGTTGAGGGGATTTTGTTTTGTTGATTTTCAGATTTTGTGAAACTGTGCCGGTTGCAAATGTGGACAGAGAATCTGGACAGTGTTTTGTCATCGACGGTAGAGAAGTCTACCGTAATGCATTTGTTAGTTCATGTACGTTTTCCTTTTCAAAGGGTGTAGGTTACAGTAGGTAGCCCCTAAATTTATTATATTTATGTGGTCCCACCAGGATGTGTCATGATGATCTGACCACTATAACAGTTACATGCATGCACTCGGGTCGGTCGGTTCAGTCAACGTTGACAGGTCATGAATCAAAGTCTGGACTTTGTGTTTCTTCATGTTTCTTCAGAAGCTTTGCCGACTTCTTTATTCGGTTGAATGTCTAATCGAGGCAGGCAGAACAGTTTGGCTTCACATTTTGGCATCTCGTTCCATCTGGATTCGAACTCTCAAGTCTGTATTCTAGCTGTCGTCTGCGATGTGCTAGATCTACCTTCTTAGGTAGGTATGACTGTCCAAATTGACGCCTGGAAATCATCATCTCACTCCGTCAAGCTCTACTGACTGATCTTTGTGAAGGCAAAGTGTGTTGTCCCTACTGTGTAATACTCATCACTGAATCAATCTGCATGTATCCTTCCCGTCATCTACTGACCGCGGCTCGTTTTTCTCCCTTCTTGTCGCCCTCCATGCCCGCTGTGTGCGACAGGGTGAAGTGGCACTGCTCATGAGGCTCTTTGAGCGAACTCTGCCGGCTGAGCTTCCAAGACTTGAGCGGTAAGTTTTCGGGTAAAAGTTAAAAAAACGTTTTTTCAACATTCTGGCATTCTTTGAATTCTATTCGCCATATCCTATGATGCCATGTGGAACGCTTTCTTCCCCTTATCCTAGGATGCCACATTGATTCCCCCCCCTCCCGCCCCGTCCCCCGTGCCCCCC